TGCCGGCATGCATCAAACAATTGGGGGAGTTTGCCCCACTAAGATTGACATGCTGAAATCACCACTGGTTCATCAGAAACAAAGGAAGTGAAACCTTTCCTCTCTATAATGTATCTCTAGCACCGTATTGTAAACTGGTAAGAAGTGATCAAACTAAATGCAAATAGGGGAACACTTCCAGCAAAGGCCCTACTGCTGCCACCAGTGTAGTGGAGCGGAGGGCCTGAACCAAACTACCCTAACAACTACTACTACTAACAACTATATACAGTTGAAGTCGGAAGTTTACATACACCTTAGCCAAATACATTTAAACTCAGTTTTTCACAATTCCTGACATTTAATCCTAGTAAAAATTCCCTGTCTTAGGTCAGTTAGGATCACCACTTTATTTTAAGAATGTGAAATGTCAGAATAATAGTAGAGAGAATTATTTATTTCAGCTTTTATTTCTTTCATCACATTCCCAGTGGGTCAGAAGTTTACATACACTCAATTAGTATTTGGTAGCATTGCCATTACATTGTTTAACTTGGGTCAAACGTTTCGGGTAGCCTTCCACAAGCTTCCCACAATAAGTTGGGTGAATTTTGGCCCATTCCTCCTGACAGAGCTGGTGTAACTGAGTCAGGTTTGTAGGCCATATAAGATATTTAATATGGTACCATGGTTAGTTATAACAGACGAAGGACATAGCCCTGCCATCACATAACTCCATAAAGAAAATGTTTTACCCATACGGTCAAAAGAAAATAGACTCAAGACAGCCTACCCTTATTGAAAGGCAACGCCCTCTCCTTCTCCCGTGGACCGAATCACAAACAGGGCTATGAACTATAAACTTGTTCATAATGATCAGTATTACAATGACCTTTAAATCATTACATTTACATTTTAGTCATTTAGCAGACGCTCTGATCCAGAGTCACTACAGTAGTGAGTCATTTAGCAGACACTCTTATCCAGAGCCACTACAGTAGTGAGTCATTTAGCAGACACTCTGATCCAGAGCCACTACAGTAGTGAGTCATTTAGCAGACACTCTTATCCAGAGTCACTACAGTAGTGAGTCATTTAGCAGACACTCTTATCCAGAGAATCTACAGTAGTGAGTCATTTAGCAGACACTCTTATCCAGAGCCACTGCAGTAGTGAGTCATTTAGCAGACGCTCTTATCCAGAGTCACTACAGTAGTGAGTCATTTAGCAGACACTCTTATCCAGAGCCACTACAGTAGTGAATCATTTAGCAGACACTCTGATCCAGAGTCACTACAGTAGTGAGTCATTTAGCAGACGCTCTTATCCAGAGAATCTACAGTAGTGAGTCATTTAGCAGACACTCTTATCCAGAGCCACTGCAGTAGTGAGTCATTTAGCAGACGCTCTTATCCAGAGTCACTACAGTAGTGAGTCATTTAGCAGACGCTCTTATCCAGAGAATCTACAGTAGTGAGTCATTTAGCAGACGCTCTTATCCAGAGCCACTGCAGTAGTGAGTCATTTAGCAGACGCTCTTATCCAGAGAGACTACAGTAGTGAGTCATTTAGCAGACGCTCTTATCCAGAGTCACTACAGTAGTGAGTCATGTAGCAGACGTTCCTATCCAGAGCCACTACAGTAGTGAGTCATTTAGCAGACGCTCCTATCCAGAGCCACTACAGTAGTGAGTCATTTAGCAGACGCTCTTATCCAGAGCCACTACAGTAGTGAGTCATTTAGCAGACGCTCTTATCCAGAGCCACTACAGTAGTGAGTCATTTAGCAGACGCTCTTATCCAGAGCCACTACAGTAGTGAGTCATTTAGCAGACGCTCTTATCCAGAGCCACTACAGTAGTGAGTCATTTAGCAGACGCTCTTATCCAGAGTCACTACAGTAGTGAGTCATTTAGCAGACGCTCCTATCCAGAGTCACTACAGTAGTGAGTCATTTAGCAGACGCTCCTATCCAGAGCCACTACAGTAGTGAGTCATTTAGCAGACACTCTTATCCAGAGCGACGTACAGTGAATACATTTTTCATACTGTAGAATAAGACCTCACATCAGCTCTATTCATGGCATTTCTATCTGCAACGTTCGACAATGTTTGGAAACTGAACGTGGCCCTTGTATTCTACCCAGCGACAGTGCATGAAGGAAAAAACGTCCCTGATTGGTTGAAAGAAAATAAAGACATTTTACATTATTACAATATCTATATTGCCCTAGTTCTTAAAATATAATAGGTAAAAATAAATAAGATTGATGTAGATAGTTACAGTAGATTGTTGGTGGTGATGTCTTTAATAACAATAATGATTTTACCAAATTAATGATCTGACCAACATTGCAAGCAGAACGTTTACCCACCCTATGAACAGAGTAGGGTCGGGTGAAATTGGTATCATTCAGTGCAGTAATATTAAGACCTTGATCCCCAAAACAATTTATCTTAAAGTTGATGCATTGTTTTATCTTTTAATTGCTCTACTGTACTGTCTAAAGCATAGCTTGAATCCAACATACATATGTTCTAAACATTTCAGATGGTCTACATTACAGCTCTGAATCATTATCTTAAAGCCTTGTCATAAAACAAGTCATTTAATATTGGCCTGAAAGACATTGACGACAATTCCAACACATTGAAACTCCTGCCCCGTTAGCAAAAAAAAAAAAAAGTTTTCCAACCCAAAATGTTTATTCTCTAATATTACAGCTCTTTTAAAAACAAGCGTATTTCTTTCCATGTAATATATTGTATATCAAGCATTCAATATCTTTATCTAACAGCAAATAAGACTTCCTCTGGTCAATGGATCATAATGTAATTAAAACCAACACTCCTTGGTCTCACAATATGATCAATTTTCTTTATAAACTGTAAAGCCAAAAACCTTGAGCTATGTGCTCTTTAAAAAAACATACTGCCGCCCATGCACCATGAATGCACCCAGCACTGCATGGGGGTGCATTGAATGTACAGTACTCCTGAATCCCAGTCTTCAGAGATGACCCAATGGTGAGTCAGATGTATGAAATGCGCCACCTAGTGGAGAGGAGAGCGCACTGGAAGCCGATTATGAGCTAGATACTAAAAGGTGAGAAGGAACCCAGCACAGGAAATGACCATTAATGCTGACTGGCAAGTTGTTACACATCACCTTTAAATATAAAAGGGAAAAAAGAAGAGAAAAACAGGAAACAGCAAAGTGGGGTGAGAACTGAGGACTACTACTCAGTACCCAGAGAGAAACTACTGAGCAAAATGGGAGACAGAATATGGAAGATTGTTGGGGAATGAGAACCAGAGAGGTGAACATTGACAGTGTTTAAAGGACAGGGGCAAGGAGAACAGAAAGGACAGGGGCAAGGAGAACAGACAGGACAGGGGCAAGGAGAACGGAGAACAGACAGGACAGGGGCAAGGAGAACAGACAGGACAGGGGCAAGGAGTACAGACAGGACAGGGGCAAGGAGAACAGACAGGACAGGGGCAAGGAGAACGGAGAACAGACAGGACAGGGGCAAGGAGAACAGACAGGACAGGGGCAAGGAGTACAGACAGGACAGGGGCAAGGAGAACAGACAGGACAGGGGCAAGGAGAACGGAGAACAGAAAGGACAGGGGCAAGGAGAACAGAAAGGACAGGGGAAAGGAGAACAGACAGGACAGGGGAAAGGAGAACAGAAAGGACAGGGGCAAGGAGTACAGACAGGACAGGGGCAAGGAGAACAGACAGGACAGGGGCAAGGAGAACAGAAAGGACAGGGGCAAGGAGAACAGACAGGACAGGGGCAAGGAGAACAGACAGGACAGGGGCAAGGAGAACAGAAAGGACAGGGGCAAGGAGAACAGACAGGACAGGGGCAAGGAGAACAGACAGGACAGGGGCAAGGAGAAAAGAAAGGACAGGGGCAAGGAGAACAGACAGGACAGGGGAAAGGAGAACAGACAGGACAGGGGCAAGGAGAATAGACAGGACAGGGGCAAGGAGTACAGACAGGACAGGGGCAAGGAGAACAGAAAGGACAGGGGCAAGGAGAACAGACAGGACAGGGGCAAGGAGAACAGACAGGACAGGGGGTGATGGAAAATGGCTAAGCAAAAGCCCCCAAAATGCTGCACAGGAAATGGGTAACAACTAATTCCAACATCCCACCCTGAACAAACATAGCTTTCGATACCATTCGAAAGAGGAATTTAATATATAAACAAATTACAAATTACAAAGCAATGGTGAGGTGAACATAGTGAACATAGTGAACATGGTGTGATGGAATATTTTAAATAAATGGTTCTTTATTAATCATCGGCTTCCAAATAAACTAAAACTCAAAAGATTCAAACCTTTTTTTATGCATCTACAAAAAGAAAGAAAAGCAAAGCTATTTCACATCCATGATTGCTTTTTCAAATCATTGGTTTTTGGGGAGAAGAAAAAAACATGCTTCTTGATCTTTGTGAATCCATAAACTAAAGTGTCCATCTGCACATATCCACCTGTGCTCTCAGTCTGTGGTGTGTGCCGTTGTTACCATCTGACCATGCAGATTGACCCCATTCCATAAACACAAGCTGTCCAACAGCTTGTGTTTAGCATCAAAATAGTGCAGGGCCCTAACCAACAGTAAAGGCTCCTCTCCTCTCCCCATTCCCCCTCACTCTCCCCATCTCTCCTCCCCCCCTCTCTCCTCCCCCCCTCTCCCCCCTCTCTCCTCCCCCCCTCTCCCCATCTCTCCTCCCCCCTTCCCCCAGGTCTGCATTTCCATCACTGAAAGGAAGGACCAATTTAATCTCCAAAGTGACAGGAGAACAGAGTAGGGAAAGGGAGGACATACAAACAGAACACAACAAACCTCTCTTTCAGAAAAAGAGGACCGAACCCTAGGTACTGTCTGCTTTGTTGCCGTTTGGTGATGAGGGAGATAGCAGTAGGGAGGTAGAGAAAGAGTGTTGGGGGGGGGGGGCGACAGGGGTGCTTGGTTCAGAGAGGGGGGTCCAGTGGGTGTTATTTATTGGCCGTTCCGCCCATTAGCGGAATTTCGTGGCGGGGTGACCGGGCGTCCAGATCCCATTCCTCCACCTCCACCGTAAGAGTAGAGCTTCTTATCCGCTGGCTTGAGAATCTGAAAGGAGCATATGAGGGTCTCATCCACACTCATCATGGCACCGGCATTATCAAACTCTCCACAGTAGTTAGGGGCAGAGTAACAAGCTGTCTCTTTGCAAAGAACTCGTATCCGTCTTCTACCACCTGATGTGCCCTGCATATAAGGTCCATGTCATGTTTGTGCAAAAATTTGGCCACCACGTCTGCCCCGAATGTGAAGGAGACCCCACGGTCGTTCTCGCCCCAGCCCAGGACATCTTTGTCTGGGTCGGCCCACAGCAGGTCACACAGCAGGCCCTGGTCAGGCACATCCGTGGGTCACATCACTCTGCGAACCTGCTCCATGGACTGGAGGTCTGGAGAGAGGCCTCCATGGCAGCAGCAGATCTTCTCATCTACAATCGCAGCCACGGGTAAACAGTTGAAGCAGTCTGTGAACGTCTTTCCACAGCTTGATGTTATACCGACTCTTACACTCATCATAAAAGCCATAGATATGGTTAATGGAGGCACACTCGTGGTTGCCACGCAGCAGGAAGAAGTTCTCGGGGTATTTGACCTTGTAGGCCAGAAGCAGGCAGATGGTCTCCAGGGACTGCTTCCCTCGGTCCACGTAGTCCCCTAGGAACAGGTAGAATCATCACACAATGTCTCTCGGCTTTCCAGTGAGGGCGATCAAATCACACTAGAAAGTAAGGACAGAGGTCAGAGGTCATTCAAACCCTTCAAATAAGTGTTTCTTTCTATATTAGACTAATTATTTAAAAACAGTCAAGCATTTCAAACATTTTGTATCCCAGGGTTACAGTAAGTGTTCAGGACATTTATATTTCCTGTCAAAAGAATTCACGTGTTCAATTAAAACTCAGAAAATAAGGACTTCCGAAATTCCATTAGTGTGTGCCTTTAAGATACCTGGGCTCTAACCCGTGAAAACCCACTAAAACCAAATGAAATAGTCCACACAATAAATCAAACATGGTATTAACACCACTAAACAAATATTTATAACAAGTGTGTTGTGTGTGGGGATTTGCAAACCATAGGGCAAAAACAAACAAAAATGGCCAGGCCTTATTTAATTTGGGAGCTCCCTTTACGGCCGAATCCAGATACCTTTATACTTCTAAAACTGCAGAATTTCTCTACCTGCTCTCCCAAGACAACAGTCTCAGGAACATTTCAAAGAGAGAGATAATGACTCCCTCCTCTCCTGGAAGAGAAAGTGTACATTTCGTTAACATTCACTATGCTACATCTTAATCAGCAACACAAAAGTTTTAATTACAAACAAAACATGATCACGATAAGTCCACTCCAATCATTAATTGTTTGTTTAAATCCACGTTTATGTACTCTTATTTAGCATGTACTACCCTTAGACACGGCAACAGATTCACTACCGTTTCTGACGGGTCTCTTATTTTAGCATGATTTTCCCATAACTACCACACCACAACGCCCTTCATGTTCATGAACAAACATTTTAAAAAGGTCATTTTAGGTTTGGTAACCCCAATGGTGTCGCTTGACAGAATTGCTTCTTAAAAACTTGACTAACACTTACTCCCAATATTAACTCCAATCTAATTTCCCGTAGGGTAAAGTTAAAACACATCAGATGATACAGCGTCCCATTAAGCAGAACAAACACATTCTAAAATAAACAAACCCAGAACCCCTTTCTGGTAATCGTATTATTGTAACCTGCTGCATTGATTCAGTAAAAATATAAACCTGTTGATTAACAAATCTAGAACCTTCAAGTTGGTGCAGTTTCATAATAGTCCAAACTAACTCCAATCTACATTTCGATGGGAGATAAAACAGCTCACAATGCTAGAGCCTCTTTCTGCCCACAACTTCAATTCATTGCTGTTGCAGCCTTGTATTATCATGCAATAATTAATACCCATTGACAACAATGTGTTCCACCGGATGTGTACCAAACTCACTAAAAGTGGCAGTAATAAAGCCTCTCTTGAAAAAGCCAAACCTTGACCCGGAAAATGTAAAAAAACTATCGGCCTATATCGAATCTCCCATTCCTCTCAAACATTTCAGAAAAATATGTTGCGCAGCAACTCACTGCCTTCCTGAAGACAAATAATGTATACGAAATGCTTCAGTCTGGTTTTTGACCGCATCATAGCACTGAGACTGCAGTTAAGAAGTTGGTAATTTACATTTTAATGGGGTCAGACCAAGGCTCTGCATCTGTCCTCGTGCTCCTAAACCTTAGTGCTGCATTTGGCACGATCACCACATTCTTGACACCATCGATCACCACATTCTTTTGGAGAGATTAGAAACCCTAATTGGTCTCTGCATTTGGAAAGAATGGATCCAGTTTGGTTACAAACACAAACTGAGAAACGCTTCCAAACTGTCTCTGCATTTAGACTGAATGGATCCTGTTTGGTTCAGAACACAGCTATGAAGATGCAGCACCCCCAACCCCAATCTGCTTCCCACAGGTATGAGTATGAAGATAGGGAATTTATATTGGAAGCAGTTATAGCTTATCAGACTTGTATGCGATGTCATGGCGACGGTGGCTAGCTAATCTCATGTGCATAAACACTACATCGGGTCTAACGGTCATCTTGCGCCGAACTGCGCATGTGCAAGCTGTCAAATCAAAGGCACTCCTTCAATGTAAAGTTGTTTTTGATGAAAATGTATCCGTTTGTCACTTTCATGAGGTTGGAGTAATAACCTGTTAATCTACTTAAAAGATTGGCTGGAATCTAGGTTGTGCCTTTAGATTTGGAGAAAATTAACAACTAAAGAAGAATTTTTCACTTTTCTCATTGACTTCTCAAACCCCAAAGCCCGGCCGTCTGATTGGTCTGTTTCACATGGGTTCCCGGAAGTCTTGCGGTGTTGCGCCTCTGGGTTTGAAACTCTGTGTTCTCAGCCTTTGGATGGAGGGGTGCGACGCTATTGGTTGACTCAGCCAACCACCTGAAAATAAAGAACGATGTCCAACAGTAGAATTTAAATAGCAACCGCTAACTTATAATAATAATAATAATAATAATATGCCATTTAGCAGACGCTTTTATCCAAAGCGACTTACAGTCATGTGTGCATACATTTTTTTTTTGTGTATGGGTGGTCCCGGGGGATCGAACCCACTATCTTGGCGTTACAAGCGCCATACTCTCCCAGCTGAGCTACAGAGGACTTGCGTCTATCAATAGTTGCTGGAAAGCTAGCTAGCTACCATGGTAACGGTACAGTCACAGTACCTCCAGCATTCGTTTTCATAGGAACTGTCAAAGTTAATCAAAAATAAATAATAATAATAATAATAATAATAATAATATGCCATTTAGCAGACGCTTTTATCCAAAGCGACTTAGTCATGTGTGCATACATTTTTACATATGGGTGGTCCCGGGGATCGAACCCACTACCCTGGCGTTACAAGCGCCGTGCTCTACCAATTGAGCATGGCGCTACAAAATATAATGCAGTCTGCTAGCATTACCAAGGGTTAAGTTATTGCCCATTTTAGTAAATGCTATTTAGCTAGCTAAGTTCGTCAAAAAATATAATTTGGTAATGTTACAGTAGCATTCACTTTCAATGGGGGGAGCTGTCAGAATTACTGTCACCTGATTTGTAAAAAAATAAAAATGTTGCTACGTAGCTATATTATTATGCCAACTAAGTTAGATAATGATGTTCTAAACATGTCTAGCTTTGTATTTCTTTAGAAATTAAAATCAGTCAGTCCATGATATAGCCTAACTAAGTTAACTAATCAGTCAGTCCATGATATAGCCTAACTAAGTTAACTAATCAGTCAGTCCATGATATAGCCTAACTAAGTTAACTAATCTGTCAGTCCATGATATAGCCTAACTAAGTTAACTAATCAGTCAGTCCATGATATAGCCTAACTAAGTTAACTAATCGGTCAGTCCATGATATAGCCTAACTAAGTTAACTAATCGGTCAGTCCATGATATAGCCTAACTAAGTTAACTAATCAGTCAGTCCATGATATAGCCTAACTAAGTTAACTAATCAGTCAGTCCATGATATAGCCTAACTAAGTTAACTAATCGGTCAGTCCATGATATAGCCTAACTAAGTTAACTAATCGGTCAGTCCATGATATAGCCTAACTAAGTTAACTAATTTGCCATGATGCTTGATTAGCCTACTTGCTTGAATACTGACTAATTTCCCAATAACACCATTTATTCTTGTAGGCTGACTGTATTAGCCTAGCTAGTTTACATTCGGTTTGCTATGTAACGCTAATTGTTTTTGCGGTAGTCTGATACATTCATCCTGATGGTTTCAGATGTTTAAAAATAACCATAAGCCCCATAAGGGAGTGGAAGCGTGCGGTGGACTTCCTAACACAGGCTTACTTATGTATTGTTACAGATAGAGAATTGTCCAATGCAGGTCCGTGGACAACTCTGCTCGGCGGCCTTCAGAGATGTCTGTGGATGTCACCCCAGGTGGTGAAATTAATAAAGCTTACAGGCTAAAACAACATGTATTCTCTTTTCTGATTTAGTTAAATGAGACACCATACTGTAGTTCCGTCTCTGTATTTCCCCCCCTATATCTGGGCCAGCCCCTATATCTGAAGCAGGTCTCTACCAGTGGACCTGCTGGGCCAGCCCCTATATCTGAAGCAGGTCTCTACCAGTGGACCTGCTGGGCCAGCCCCTATATCTGAAGCAGGTCTCTACCAGTGGACCTGCTGGGCCAGCCCCTATATCTGAAGCAGGTCTCTACCAGTGGACCTGCTGGGCCAGCCCCTATATCTGAAGCAGGTCTCTACCAGTGGACCTGCTGGGCCAGCCCTTATATCTGAAGCAGGTCTCTACCAGTGGACCTGCTGGGCCAGCCCCTATATCTGAAGCAGGTCTCTACCAGTGGACCTGCTGGGCCAGCCCCTATATCTGAAGCAGGTCTCTACCAGTGGACCTGCTGGGCCAGCCCCTATATCTGAAGCAGGTCTCTACCAGTGGACCTGCTGGGCCAGCCCAGAACAGTCAGAACAGACAGAGAAGACAGAACCAAATAGCGCACTCCGCCAACCCTGATGTTCTAGCAGTGTCTGAATCCTGGCTTAGGAAGGCCACCAAAAATTCTGAAATTTCCATCCCCAACTATAACATTTTCCGTCTAGATAGAACTGCCAAAGGGGGTGGAGTTGCAATCTACTGTAGAGATAGCCTGCAGAGCTCTATCATACTATCCAGGTCTGTGCCCAAACAGTTTGAGCTTCTACTTCTAAAAATCCACCTTTCCAGAAATAAATCTCTCACTGTTGCCGCTTGCTACAGACCCCCCTCAGCCCCCAGCTGTGCCCTGGACACCATATGTGAATTGATTGCCCCCCATCTATCCTCAGAGTTCGTACTGCTTGGTGACCTAAATTGGGATATGCTTAACACCCCGGCCATCCTACAATCTAAACTAGATGCCCTCAATCTCACACAAATTATCAACGAACCTACCAGGTACAACCCTAAATCCGTAAACATGGGTACCCTCATAGATATCACCCTGACTAACTTACCC